AAGCTGACCTCCCTCAACCCGAGAAACTTGTTTTCGGTCTTAATGACTGCCTCCTGGGATCGCTTAACCTTCGCCCCCTTTACGACCTGAGCCCAATTACTAGCCACCTGGGAGTCGGCACTCGACGCGCTGTCAAAGGACGAAAGGGCCACCCTCCCAGTAAAGTCCGGAAGGCTGGGGAACCCCCGGAGTGCCTCCTCCACCCTAACTACCCTCGCCACTAAATCATCCCTCTGTACCTCGCCCACCTCCTTCCTGATCCCCCTAATCTCCTCCTCCACGCTAATGAGCCTTCCCGATAGCTCCCCTAGTCGCTCCTCCAAGCTACAGACTCTGCATACCTGGCATACCTCTCGTTCACTAGTCCCACCTACCCAATCCCCGCAACGAACGCATCTACACATCCTAGGCATCTTACTTAATGTTATTGATCCCTATTGACACTCCTACTGCTTTAGACTTATACTTTGCAGTACTTCACACTAGTTGTAACCCGGTAAGACTGTCCTGTCCTAGTCCTTGTAGTAAAAGGAATATTACGAATAATGCGCTAATAATTAAAGTAATTACACTGATTGATACTGATCTAATGTGAAGTTGGAGGTAGCTATCAGGAAACTTATGAATACTGCTACAAAGTAGCCAGGTAACAACTAACTCACGACTTAGCTGACAGAACCTCGAGAGTATCCTCCAACACGTCCTCACGCTACGAACGCTCGACCAAGACTCCATCAGGATCCATCAGGATGAGCCAAGGTAAGGGTGCGTGTCATGTGGAGATTCAAGAAAATTGAGCGTGTCTCCTCGGACCCATTGGCAAGAGGTACTTTGGGTCTCCTTCTGCCTGATTACTTCCTTAAACATGTCTATCTAGGAATTCCTATACCTTCCCCTATGCTGTAAATGGGGAAAGATCGGGTACTGTATGAAAAATGCAGGGTACTGTTTATTTCAACGCATTAGGATAAGAATCGCCCGTTAGGAGCCATCTCGCTTCGATTCGTAGAACCTATTTTCCGTCGATATGATAGATAACTCCACGTAAAAACAACATTGAGAATACGATTTAAGAAAAATTTGCTCCTAATAGCCTCTAAACGACATCCCTAATTCACGAGTTGTGAATAGTAGTGGTGTATATACTACATACAAAAACGAACTTCTACTATTTTATAAACATTAGTAAGCTGCAATGAGGAAATTAGTTAAAGCAAGGCCATCAATGATTCTGTTCACAGAGAAGTGGATCTATTGTCGGCTACAAAATAAAATGTCTGGCTTCTCTATATGTAATTCCCTCATCCGTTACCAGCAACCATCTGGGTGAGTTCCGATTCGCGTTCCTCCGCCGCCTCTCGAAGTCGCTGCAGAGAAAGAAAAATCATTGCTCTTGGTAGCATCAAGTCATAACGTTAGTTGCAACATGGGCAGAGTAAAAACGAGTCATGTCCTGCACATGTGAAAAACTGGTTAATTGATAATTTGAGAGATGCTGTCATGAAGATAAGTAAGTTCAAGTGCAAGTGCTAAATCACTGGTGACTTTGGAAAGAGAATGGATATATTCATTTCCCAATTGGCTTGTTTGGGAGTTTTTTCAGGTCAGTCGCACGATTTCTCAAAGGAAAGCAAAATTATTAGTGGAGAAAATCATGAAACTATTGATATTTTGCATTCCGCTCAAGCATTTTTGGTGCCACCACGAAAAGTCCTTTAAGAGACAGAACCTGGGAAACTCAGTTCCCCGAATAAGAGGTTTTAGATCGGGAGTCTCGCAGAAAATCCTTTCCCTGACAGGATCCATTAACCTTGAGCATAACATAGGTGCCTTCGGTAATGGAACGTGAGACTCCCTTGCTTTACCCTTAAATGCGAGAGACTGAGTACTCAATGGCAACGAGATAGACAAGAAATGAATGAATCGAAATTAATTAATTTTTGCATTGCATCTATGGGAGCACACTGTTACCATCTTTCCGGATGAAAGGGACTTCTAAGGTAAGAATTTAATTCATTGCCAGATAATATTGACTCCATCACAAAGAAGTAAGGACTCATCAGCAGAAGATATCATTTGGTCAATGAGTTAATTTGCGTAATCAAATTCATATTACTTTCCGGAAATCATTTCGCCACCAGAGATTTAATGAATCTAATAAATTCTCCCTCACTATGTTCACCAGATGCCATAGAATTGCCTCCAAACTTCTTTGACTTCACGCCAATATTATTAAATTTTCACATATAAAAAAAATGAAAGCGCTTGCTCTTTAAGCAGGCCTGCGGGTTAGACGTAGCGTTCTTCTATTCTTTTCTCTTTCTTTATGATAGTATTTATTGCACTTCAATGAACAGCAAGAACTGTGACAATGACACAATCGAGATCTACTTATTTTTTGTTTCCCATGCTGTGAGGGATTCCACGTTCCCAGGGCATTCTATCAGGCGGCCGAGATGGCAGGTGAATCCAGCACACAGAGTGCATGCAGGGAGGGACGGAACCTTTTTCTCCTCCCTTCGTGATGGCGTCCTACAATTCCTGCAGTGCTGTCTGTAATCCCTCTTTGGTTCTCGGTCGTCGCTTTCTGGTGCCAGCCTTCAGAATTCCCATGATAATTTCGATCGGCGACATGTTCTGGCCTGCTGGCTGGCCATCGTTGCTCCTCCATATCCTCGTTTTCGAACCATTAGCTAGTTGTCTTGATTGTATGACACCATGCACCATCCTAATAAAAGATGAAGTGGATCATCAGGATGCAGTTCTTCCACGATGTAATCATGCCATTCCCAATTATTTCAATGCATTTCTTACTGTCAACTGTCCCATCGATGAACACCAGTTGCCCGACACCCTTGCTGCTCATGCAGCGCCACACTATCAGGCTGTCAGGGAATTAAACCATCGTGTTGACGAAATCGCGATGAAAAGCCTCATCCTTCGAACGACAACTCTATTTCGGTGATCTCCGAGGCAGAGAGTGAACTTGGATTCTTCGCTTCATACCGCTGTCAGAAGAATTTGGAATGAAAGACAACAAGGGAAAGGTACGAGTCTATTGTCATATTTCCGGCCATTTCAGACTTTGGAATACTTCTCACTAGGCGTAACTTGCGGAAGATTGAAGACCCGATTCTCATTTCAACGCTAGTGGAGCAGAGAATGGGCACCATTACCCTCTTCGTTTACCGCAATCACCTGAATTTTCCACGGAATGGAAATCTAAGGAAGCACGAAGAGGAAGCATGGACAAGAAGTGATCTAATTGGGGTCCATCCTCCCACACGTTAAGGTAGGTGATTCACATGCCACTTATTCAGATGCAACCGATTTCCCGTCTGACCTCGACAGAATGAATGGAAGAACGCTTGAAAGTTTCTCGCTGGCTGGGAATGGGCCTGAACTACTAATCGTTTGCCCTTATTATTCGCTATAATATTTGGCCTTCTTTCAAAGAAAAGGAATGGATCACGAGCCAAAAGAACCGTCCGATATCCGTGTACATATGGATTTGCACGCAGGTGATATTCTTGATATCATTTCAGGGATATAATTTCTTTTTTGTCCTAGCGTATTTGGCAGAGATAGGAAAGTGAAACTTGATACGTAAGCACCATTTGAGAATCTGGATTCATAAAAAATATTTTCAAAATATCTCTCCTGAAATTTGTGCCACCATGGCATTTATCTCCAAAGCCTGTATTCAGACTTTGGAGATAAATGCCATGGTGGCACAAATTTCAGGAGAGATATTTTGAAAATTTTTCTTTTTGTTTCAGTCAATAAACAATGACGGCTGAAACGTGACATAGACGTAACTATTCAGGAAAAATGTGAAGTTTTGGATACATACCTTGGGGGCAAATTTTTTTGAAAAAGCGCTTTTTCCGGAAACTTTTCTGATTCAATGAAGGAGAGAACTAAAGAAAGTTGAAACTTGCAGCAGAAGAACATGTTCGATTGCTGAGGACATGTCCTGCTTTTCAAATATGACCAATCGGGGCAAATTATGAAGAGATTTGAAGTTAGGCACACAAGAAACATTGTGAGTAATTATTTCGATTAAAATATCGGTTTGTTCTCTCAAGATACACATTCCGATGTGCACATACCTTTAATTGGTTTTTGCAACATTGAAAATAAATTATTGAATGATGAGGAAGTGCCGAAGGCTCGACAATAGTAAGGAATACGTTTTGCTGACGGTCTGGAGTGACAATTGCCATATAATGAATTCCTAAGCCGTATTTTTTTTTAATGGGAAACGAGGATTTAAATAGAATGCAAGGAACGGGAAAGAGATGGAAAAACTGATTCATTTCATCAAAAAATTAGTAGGAAAGGGATTCTAAATCCCCTTCATGGATTCTCTCTTCCCTTCTCAAAAATGCAGATTGAAATTGAATATGAAACCCTATGAATTTTTCGTATAAGGGATGGTGGCAGGGGAAGTCCCGAGAAGTCGCCAGAATCCTCGAGGATGCTCTGGCTGGTGTTCCTCCTCGGCTGCGGTCGAGCGGCTCTGGTCCCGAAGGAAGACTTGCCTGGGGAGAACTTGCGAAGGATACTGAAGGAGGTGATCGTGGGAGACCTCCATGATGATTGCCCTCTGTACGCCGCGATCCCTGCGGAAGAAACGTGGGGATTCCTTGGGGAATCCCTCAACTCCATTTACCTCTGGGAGCAGGAGCAGAATTCTTCGTCGGTCGTCGCCCGGATGGTCAAGAACTCTCTGGGCCAGGCTTGTGCCGCCTTTTTCATCAGTGTGAACCGGTCCCAACTTCTAGATCTGAACCAGGACCCAGGTCTTCAGGAAGATTTATTTCCCTCCAAATGGAAGAAATTTCTCTTGATCCGAGACGAGTCCCCAAGACACATTTGGCACCTTCCCGGATTGAACCGCAGCATCAATACTTACACATTTCAGTTATGGAGTCAAAGTCTGACACTGAGCACCGTCTGCCTCTATTGTCGACAAGGGAACACCACCCACGAGGTATTCCTCATCTCATAAGAAAATTGTAATACTGATATATTAGTACATAAGCTTCTTTGTATTCAAGTTTGATGTTTTCTTCCTTTGCAGAAACTGAAAGCGTGGAATCTGAATCGTCCACTGCCGAGAATTGAGGCTTTGAAACTGCCGATGTCATTCCGGGATCAATTCTACGGGAAGCGCGTGGTGGTACCCATGAGGAACCTTCCACCTTATGGCTACCTGGTTGACTCCGCCAACGGCACCCAGACGTATGAAGGTGAGCTCGTTTGTGATGTCGAAGTCTAGCAGTTGTGGAGGAGAGTTGTTCGGAGTCTTCGAACTTTGCCATTTGCAGCAAGAAATATTTAATTTGCGAATTTCGGGAAAAAATTGGACAATTTCAGTACATTCCTCCAAAAATGAACATGAAGTTTAACAAGTCATTGAGTTGGTACTCACTGGGATGATATTCTGTTATCAGCGAGCTTTCGGTTATTCATCACCAATTATCACTTACTTCCTGGTGTATTTTAGTCATGAGTTGTGGCATCTGGTCACGGACTGGTTTGAAGTGTATTCTAGTGGTTAATAAGTCCGGAACATAGCGAAATTTTTCTTTAATAAGAAAATATAAATAAGGCACTCATAGCCTCTTTTTAAGAAATCATCACTTCCTTTTGCTATGCATTACCTCTTCCATCAATTATGGGAACCTCAGGATTTATTGCATAAATAAAATTTCAAAAGTCATCTCTTGAATTGCCACTCCACAATATTTCGCATAAAAAAAAAATGAATTCCAATCGGCGACAGAAACCCAAAACGCCCTGCTTGGTATAAACCGTAAAAGATTTACTCACTTTCCCAGTCGTACAAAACATTAAATGCAGAAAAGAAAAAATTTAATCGACATCAGTAAGTATAATCAGTATTCAAGCAATGTTGCCAAATTTGTTTTGTGCTACTGCGCTTCACGATATATGTAATCGCTCACTATTTTATTTGCTATATTTTGTTTTGAATCATGAGGGAAGATTCATCGATTTTCCGATGCATTCATCCGCCTCCTCTACAGTGGCTAATATTATGAAATTATAATCGATTGCTCATTATGCTCCCAGCCTTAATTGATTTCGAAAAGAATGCAGCGATAAGGCTGCGTACTTGTTTGTATTTTTCGTCACAATCGGAATTAAAACAAGAAAAAATAGGAAATTATATATATTTCTCTGGCAAAAGGCCACTATCTTCCGGATCGTGGCCCTTTGTAACCAAGTTTAACCAAAAATTTTTTTCTTCAAGGTCACTCAAATTTTCTCATAGTATTGACATGTATCATTCAAAATCGATTAAATCTAATGGACCGATGGAGAAATAGGTTGTGCGCAAATACAGTCCATTCCACAACGGACTATTGAGTTATGAAGATAATTCTAACTAGAAGGTTAACGTACAATTTCCGTTCGATGTCTTGATTGCAGCAGCCATCAACGGCAATTTTAAATTTGGATATGAAAACCGAAGATGCTCGTAGGATTGGACGGGCGGGTCCTCCGTGAACTGGCACGAAAGTTCAACTTTGTCCCGGAGTTCCTCCGCATCGAGACGGTGTCCGAAGTACCTCGGAACGACATGGTGGCAGCGAGAACAGCAGATTTCGTCATTTCCGGATCGACCATCGGGACCCGCAAGGATCTCGTCTACTCCAACTGGTACTGGATCGAAGCGCTCAAGTTCATCACTACGAAGCCAATGGAGGGGAGCCCATGGAAACGAGTTTTTAAGCCATTCAATGTTATCACTTGGCTTCTCCTGGTTCTTGTCCTGGTTCTAACCATGGTCATATTTGGATGGATCTCCACCTTGCCCTGTCAGGTTTTCGGGACGATCCGCGTAGACAGTTGGTATGCATTTCAGATCATGGTTCTGCAATCGAGGAATAGAAATCGGCAACCCGATGATTTCGGATTGCATATTGCCCTAGGGACTGTCATATTGTTCGCAACTGTCATCTTCGCATTCATTTATTCTCAGACCTTGACCTCGTACATGGCGGTTCCAGGCTACGATCTACCGGTGGACAGCCTGCAAGACATTGAAGATAGGGAAATCGTATGTTATAATGTAGTTGGAGTCCCCATCTTCGACAACCTTTACGACAACAATCCAAAGGTGAAAGCCAGGCTAAGATATTATTCTAATGACGGTCGCGATCCTTACTGGACCTTGACTCCATACAGAGCGATGGTCAAAGAACCAGGTAAATATTGCACCGCCACAGGAAGATCCGTTTCCAGCAGCGCATTCAATCGATTCCTCATGAACGCTCAAGGACGGATCCCCTTTCACGTGTCGAAGCAGAACGCGAACATGATGCTGAAGGTGATGATCCTTCAACGGCATTGCCCGTATGAGGAGGCTTTCAACGACGCTATTCCTTCGTCTTGATCGGGCTGGGCTGCTGCGTTGGTGGTACGACACAGAGCTCTTTCTGGGATTCCTCTCTGGGCTGCACAATCGGCGGTTGGGTATGAAAGGTCCCGTGGATGTTCCTGACACCTTGAACTTTGACGATATCGGACGCCGTGTGCCGCGAGATCATCAAGCGTTCGGTATCCAACACCTTCTCGGGTTATTCGTGATCCTCTTCGTTGGATACGGACTGGCGCTTCTCGTATTTCTGGGAGAAATCGCATGGCATCGATGGGTCTCGAATCGTCTTCAATCTAATGTGAAGCCCGTTCAAACACTTGAAGGGATTTCTGACAATATCTCAATTGGTATTTTGGAGTAATTATTTCCAAACTTGACATCTCCTTGCTTCATTCCATGTCGATGCAAATCGTCCAATAATTTTCCAATGCTTTATCCTTAAGATCACTCGCTCCACTGTTATGCATCTTTAGCGTAATATCTATTGTGACTATTAATAATTAACCACCTCGGAAAAACTGATGATGAGGTAACTCATCTATCTGCAATTAATTCGACTTGCACTACTTATCGAGACCATTACCTTTTTTCAAATGTTTTGTAGCGTTTTTTTTCGCAATTGGTCGAAACACCCTAAGGCTCGATCATTCAATCATATTGGGAATGATGCACTCAGAGTGATTATTTAAGGACGTAATAGATCTCCTTTTGTTGAAGCAACAGAACTTAACAAAAGGATTGTGACCATTTGTATCATAGTGATTAATTTAGGCGATTTTGCTACCTATCAATATGAATAGATTTGAGATTGACTTTCTGTTGCAGTTCTATTCGTCTGTTGTCATAGCTATCTGGTCAACACTTGTCGACTAGTTGAAGTATCACATTAGCTATTTGGAACTAGTGAAATTAGGCAGCACTATACATTATTGTCTTCTGATCGCCCCCCCCCCCCCCCCCCCCCCCCCCCCCCCCCCCACTGGCAAGTTTTTGAGGGTCCAGATCATCCTGCTTTGGCTTGTCTGCATCTCCTGTCCCACCCTCGTGATTTTGCTGAGGTCTTCTATCCTGCTTGGATGCAGCTGCAGCTGCCTTCTGAGCTGCCAGCAATCGATAACTCCCCCCTCTAACTTCACTAAATCTGGAATAAACGTAGTTTTCCTTCTTCCTTATCTACTTCTAAAATTTTGTCAAAATCTAATTACTCTGATAAAAAATAAGCGCAATATACGGTTGAGCGACAGTCATTTACAAACGGCGACTCCCCATCAAGGATAATTTTGGCTTTTGGATTGCTGCAGCCCCCCAGAAAACTAGCTTCATCCTGCTCTCAATAAATCTTGGGCAATCATTAATTTAATTATTCACTTGTGTTGTCCTGCACGGTCAGTTCAACTTGAATTTCCACGCATTCTGCCATCATTTTTCAGGCACAGTTAATTTTTTTCTTTTCAGATTCGTCGTAGGATGTTCATCCTAAATTTTATTTGGATTTAAAAAAAAGGCAAGCAACCTTCCCGACAAATTTGACATTTGATCAAACGAGTCTTGCGATACAGCAATTCCGACGAAGCGGTATGCGAAGGCACCTGACACCCAAAGCAGACGACCCTCTCGAGCCTCACTCCCTCCTCTGACGAGGAAGAGGCACCAGGGCACGGAATCCCTGGTGTCTTCAGTGAAATCGTCTGTCAAGATGCCTGGATCAAATACTCAGTCTGCTTCTGAATGCCTCGGGCCTTTTTGGACAACTCGCTCTAAATGTACTTCAAAATGTTGGCTGACTATGTTTGATGATTTATGTTATTTCATTTTATTATTTTTGCTTCTTGCATCGTCCTTGATGTGACCAGTTTCATTAGGCCAGTTTCCACCTGGTTAAAGCCTGGTTAAGTCATTGCAGCAGAGTCTATGTCGTACCCATGATTTACGTAGATATTGTGAAATGAATATTGTGCTTCATGTGAAATGAATATTGTGAAGTATCAGCAATAAACTTTGCGAAATGATAAATGGAATCGCGATCGACCCGCTTACTTCCAGGTTCCCAGAAGTCCGCTGAAAAAAAAGCCGAGGAAAAACAGGTGAACTGTCTCCCTCAGGATGAAAGATGCATGACCGAGCGACGGGGGACTCCGTGGCACGCCTCCTTTCCCCCTCGCCTCCCCACCCCCTTTCCCCCTCGCCCCCCCACCCCCTTTCCCCCTCGCCCCCCACCCCCTTTCCCCCCTCCCACTCCTACGACGGTATGCCTAATTTCTTCCCTTTTCCTGCTTGTCTCTTTCACATGGAAACATCCTCGGAGTACGCAAACGAGAACCCTCCCGCTACAACCAGTCATTTTCAATACAGTCAGTTTTCATGGACATAATTCACCCCAGGATAAAGGCCAAGGAGGGGCATGATGATCGGAGGGGCATAGGGGAGCACAAGGCAAGAAAGGTCGAAGCCGCCAGATTCCAGACTGCCTATGGCCGTAGCTTGAACTCTTTGGCCCATTGGAATCGCTTCTTCTTCACGTTTGACGTCAACTATCGTTTTTATTTTGCCTTGTAAAACAAGCAGCCCACCTCATTCCAGCGGCGGCGATAGGTGTTGCTCGTGACGTTCTTCATTTTCTCTGGCAGAGTTCTTTCGTGGACGTCAAGATGATTCGCCCTGGGTACACTTTCCAGTTTTTTTTTTCCAATGGACAATGATGTCGTCCACTGTACTTTTGCTCTAAGTCAGCGGTATGCCAATGGTCTGTTTAGGTTTGCCGAAATCACGCTCCCCTGAAGCTTTACAAGTTTAAGAAACATGTGACTGGTCCAGAACTGGGCCTGGAGTAGAATTGAGCCACCGAGAAGATCGTCGCTCCCACCCACCCAACGGCAATCCCACCCAACGGTCGCGAACTTCCCCTTTCTTGCCCAAGGAATTGAACGTGTAGAAGCCATCCACCTCGAGTTCCTCTTCTGCAACGGTCCCGGTCAGCAGTGCAATAACATCCCTTGGCGACGACATCCTCAGGACTGAGCCTCACGATGGACTTGAGGTAGCAATAACCCTTTAAAACCGATATGGCGAGTTCCAGTGGTGTAAATCAACTCTGTATATCAGGTTGAAGGCCTCGAGAAACTAATTCGATATCATACGTAATTTCCATGAAATATGCTAATTAGGTGCCAATATGGCCGCCGTGAGTGAAGAAATGTAGCGACATTTCAAACACGATATATATTTAAAACCTTTGAATATAAATTAATGAAGTTCGCACACACGATAAAAGACTTCATAACGCTTAGAATGACTAGCAATTTTATAAAATTCCTTCAGAAGAAAAATATTCGAGCAATTGAAATTGAATTTTTTTTTCTCCATTTTGTCCTGCTTCTTACGTATTCATATGCTGATTATTCAAATCAGTTCCACATTATCGGGAAATGCTCTTGTCATTCCCAGACCACCGATGCAAGGAAATTTATTGCAAAAAAAGCATGCAGACATCTCTTTAGGTCCTGAGATATCGTACTCAAGATCCCTGTACTTATGGTGAAAATGGGTTTTCGGGAAATCAATAAGAGAAGTGAATTAGCCCCCTGTGAGCCATCCGCAAAGGTCATCGAAAACTACGGAACGGAACTATGGCTTTGAAACACAATTTTTTTAAATATTTTCTGACATATGGCATCCAAGGGTCAAAGTCGGTACTAAGGAGATTTAAACAAGAAAATACTACATTAATTAGTTGAAATTACACCTAATTAATTAAGTTTCGTTGTCTTTCCCAACGGAAAGCAATTTTCGGTGTCTGAAGTGTTTGAGCCAATTTTTGAGAAAACGAATTTTTTTTACAAAATTATTTTTAAATAGGGTATTGCTACCTTAAGGCCATCCACATCCAAAAATAGAGTATTAAAAAGGACATTATATTAATAGTTCCTTCCACTATATACTATAGGCATTTTTCTTCCACTTAACTTCCTTTTCTTATCTGACACTTCGGTGCCCCTTTCGGCGGGTGATGATCGTTGCTCTTTTTGACCGCGGATCCACGTTTTTCACCCCGTTCAGCTTTTTTAAGTCTGCAAGTTGTCGACGGGCGATTCCTCTCTTTTCAATTCAATTGGAAAAGATTCACTTTCCATCTGAACGTTGACCTCCCCGATGGGAATTCGCAATCCCAGTGAATGTTGAATGCTTACAAAAGCCTGCCTTCGTCCAAACTGGATGTGTGCCTCCCAAATGGAGAGCTCCGTCAGCCAAGAGGGAGAGTCTTGGCCTCTTCAAGTATTTCCGAATCTCAATTTAGCGACTTTGATTTTCTTATGGACTTTTCCAAACCTGAAACCTCGAAGTCGTTAGTTGCCATGGCACATCTGACGTGCAAGGCAAAGCAGAACCTGGATTGCAGTGCAGTACTGAACTCCCGTACATGTTCAAAGGCACAAAATCCTTCCCAATAGCACGAATCTATCCTCCAAGAGAGAAATCTTTTAATCTCATCCGGCCATCACATGTATAACTAGAGGTGAAGAAATGTCTTGCTTGATACAGTTGCAATTGGTAAAAAAAAAAAAATTAATTAGCTTGGTGACGAAGGCATGTTTGGTGTGGGGTAATACAGACATAGTGGTTCCATCAACAACGACGATGCAATCATATTTGGCGCAAAAGAAAATAAAAATTTGGGGACAAGGTTTCTTAGTATTGCTACCTTGCTACCATACTTACCATGCATCAAGTTGATGCACGCATCAAGCTGATGCATGAAGCGGATACTTGCGTCACCATTACTCTCCATGGATAAGACACATTACTAACAACACGTTGAAATTGCCTCCGGAGAACTCATCTTTGCATTGCCTCGCAGTTAGACACCGGAGAACAGCCAAATAGGTAAGCGCCTTGAGGGAAGAAACGAAGAAAAAAACTGGCCACTTCAATGGCGCCGGGCTTCTCCCCAATTCGTCCGGGATTCAGCAAGTTTCTTTTTCTATTTCTTTGTCGTGCTTTTCTTTGACGATGTGCAT